CTGAAGAGGTTCGCCAGCAACATGACAGTAAACCTGATCTGATTTGATGGACAGCCAGTACAGTGAACCGGAAGCTGCCATCCGTCCTGCTACAAACAAATTGTTCTCTGCCAAGCAAAGACGAGAAAAACAGAAATCAGGCGGCACTGGTGAGTAGGCCTACACTCCTATATGTGAAAAGAAGTTAGTTTTTGTAGTCTGTGTGTGTGTGTGTGTGTGTGTGTGTGTGTGTGTGTGTGTGTGCGCGCCTGCTGCTGGCCTCTCTCTGGCCCAGAACAAACAGCAGCTCGTCTGGTTTCTGGTTCTTCAGGCTCATATGGTCAAAGCACGTCAGTGGTCATTCCTTCAGATGTCAGGTGCAGCCATTCAGTGTTGATCAGTCCTCTTCTCGTCTGGGATGGATGGTAGGACAGGCTGATCCCAGACATTCATCTGTTCTAGTAATTACTGATTCTATAGTTAATAGTCATCTGCTTCTATTAGAGCTGCCATCAGGGCAGTTTGAACAAATCACACAAGACAAACTTTTGCGTACTTTTGCGAAAACATATTTCATTCAAAATGTTGCAGTAAGGACTGATAGGCCTACAGTAACAGGCCTGTCACTATCCAATGGAAAAAGGAAATAAAAGGGTTCTGTTCTACAAAGCTTCAGCTACTGCAGGATCATTCTGCTGTGAGTGTTTGATGTAATGTGCACCATCAGCAGAAGGCCATGGCCGGAGAATCCATGAAAATCAGCTCTCCATCAGCTGGATGGCTCATGATCAGGCTCCTAGAGAGCTGCTGAAGCTCATTAGCTGGAGTGTAAAACAGGAGAATGTGCTACAGAACGGTGTTCCTGTAAATCTACAAACCTGGATTGTACAGAGTTATGTGGGTGCAAGAACCGTCAGACTGATCCCAGACCAGTGAGCCAAGAGGACGTTCGTGGTGATAGTGATGATAGTGATGCTGATTATTCAGTTTAGATATAAAGAACTGACACCGTAGGAGAATATAAAGCGGTTATCTCTTTGGTTTTTGACTGACCGATTGACAAAGTAAATGAACTGTAGTAACCCCTGAAGACTAGCTGTAACATGTGTAACTAATATTTGATATGATACTAAATTAGAAATATTTATGATTAATTGTCTGGATCAATATTTTTTGTAATTGATATTTGAAATCGTTCCCATTGAGCTGGTTTGTCAGTCTTGTATTGTGGACAGTGAAAGACGCAGTCTGAGCTGTTGTCTTGATAAATACTTTTGATCATTGATATCTAAGGAAATGCCCAGTGAGACTATTTCACCAGTAATGTTTTGAACAGAGGACTCGGTAGCTCCACATATCACCACATCTCTGCTATTGATTGTTGTGTTGCTTATTAGCTTTGTTGATATTTCTCTACAATGGACCCAAGAGTCTGAACTTGAACAACTAAAGAATGTTTGGAACTTATTTGGAGCATTTCATGATTCATTTTTGTTTATAAAATCTAATCCGACATGTTGGATGTGAAGAATCAGGTTCCCTTGTGTGCTTGTTTCAATAGAAGAGGTTTTTGAAATAATTTCTCTTCCTCACCAGCGCTCCGATCCACTTCATATTCCACATATTGAACATTTTTGGGATTGTCTATATACGTGTCAGGTTTGAAGTGTAAGGCCTTATTACTGTCTGAGATAACTGGAGTGAAAGATGCTATTAGAGGCTAAAATGTCCAGCTTTTCATGAATTACTCATGATACGATTACTCAGTAACTGCAGGGAGCCCGCTGGTGGAACTTTTTGTGGAAGAAGTTCAACTATTTTGGAAGAAACCACAATTAAAAGTATTTCTCACGATACTGGAACGGAAGTCAATTTTGAGGCACTGAGAGCTCGTCTATGGCCTACTAGGGTCATGGGGGGCGGAGTCTATCCCAGCTGACTCAGGGTGAAGGCAGGTTCACCTGGACAGGTAACCAGTCTATCACAGGGCTACACTTAGAGACAGACAACCAAGCACACTCACATTCACACCTACGGACAATTTACAATCACCAATTAACCTCAGCATGTTTCTGGACTGTGGGAGGAAGCCGGAGAACCCGGAGAGAACCCACGCTGCACGGGGAGAACATGGAGACTCCACGCAGGAAGATCCCGGGTGTCCTCACCGGGACGCCAACCGGCGACCTTCTAGCTGCGAGGCGACGGTGCTAACCACTGAGCCACCTGCAGTCCCACAAGAAAACTAAAGTCTTTAAAAAAATCAACATGCTTTAGTGTCACAGACACGATATGGATGAAAAGAGGATTAAAAATCCACATGAAGCCACAGGAGCTGCAGAAGGTCTGTCAGTATTTCACATCAGATGGGCTTTAGAGACTGATATTAAAATACCGGCAGTCATTTTTTAGGATGCTGCTGGATCCACTTTCAATCCTAAACTGCTTTCCTCTAATTCTCCGTAGTTGTTTTTGGGTCCCTGGAGTGGACAGCGGTGGGGATGTCTGCAGGAAAGCTCTGTGCTGAAGGATTAAGTTGTGCACAGACGGCGCCATCTGATGGACGAACGACTTGTTGGTCGTATTTCTCACTATTAAATACAGAAATGTTTCCTGAGGAACAGCAACGCTCCTTTCAATATATGTTACTGTGAATATTTGAGCTGATTCCTGAGTGCAACCACAGAAATGCAGACATTTAGTCCGTCTCAGAGAACTTCTTTGTAGATGCATTACCCATTTCCACCGCTAGATGGCGCTGGTGGTTTGGAAACTGGGTTGGTTCAAGCAGGACATGTTGGATCAGAGGGACCAACTTCCTGCTCATCTCTGTTACTGGACTGAATCTGAATTCTTCAGACAAATGGCTTTGAAGAGATGCCTCAGACTGAATCTTTCTGTCTAGACATTGGTCCTGAGCTCAGATGGCAGCAGCAGCTCATTGCATGAATAAACCTGCAGCGTTTGTAAATGTTTAGTAGATGTTTCAAGTGTAGTCAAGCTTGGATATGAACGTTTAATGTCACTATATATACTGTTTAAATAGGTGCAGCCTGCTCATGAGAATGAAAGAACTCAAATATACAAAGGAAAGTTTATTTTTCTTTTTTTTTCCCGACACTATTTGTGTTGAAGTTTCACATTGCTTCACAGACAAACGAGTATCAAGGTCAGCTGAATTATTGTCTCGTGTTCAAATCAGCCTGACTTGCATACCAGGTCTGAGTGAAGAACAGAATATATGACCTGTAAATACAGTCACTATCGATTCAGAGAGAAAAACAAACAAACAAAATAATAAACAATAACAACAAAAGTTTCTCTGTCACAACCTGGAAAGCTTGAATGTTTTCT